ACCCCAGGAGCCCATTTCTCCACCATCTTCAGTGCTATAATTGCAATTAAATGGGAAATCAATTGAAAAAGTATATTCTTAAATATGTGAGAGGAGAATCTGATACATCAAAATCATCTACTGAAAAATAAAACTCAGGCTCTATTTGGTGAACACTGCTCTAGCAAAATGAATTAACAAAGGAATATCTCAAAGCTTTGCTAACAGTCAAGTGAGAAGGGTTTAAGGTCCAGTAGCAACAGAATTTTAACAGAACAATTTGAGAAGAAATAAAAATAAAAGTGACTACTGTTACTATTACACTAATACAAAATCCTGAAGATGGGTGTTTTCACTCTATCTTTAAGGTAGGAAGGCAAATTAATTTGCCCAGGTTCACAGAGGACTCAACAGGGACCAGACTTCAGAGTCTTGACTCTCTTCTCTATATCACACTACAGCTCTTGCATTGACTTTCTAGCATTGTTTATTTATCTAATGAATTTAAAACGTTTTTTTCCTTTCCAGTGGGTTAACAATCCAACCCAGAGGCAGGATTTGGAGGGAAGCTCATTCTATTATATCCAATATTTCCCTTTTCTCAAACCAGATCTTAAAGTTTTCTGTTCCCTGTCTCCATTTCTTATTTTACAGGTCTTTGGAAATTTGTCTATAAAATGCATTCATCCTTTACTGATCACCTGCAACCTGCGAAAGAGTGTATGGGATGCTAGAAATTCAGTGGTAATTGCCACACTCCCTTGCTCTAATGGAGCATGTAGTCTTATAAGAGATACAGATAAAGAAATGGGATTATAATGTGAGCCCAAGAGGGCACATTGGTAGTGTGAGAATATGCAAAAGTGGTACCAAACGTGGACTTGGGTGGAGGGTGGTCTGTAAGTACTTCCCAGAGGAGGTAGCAGCTGAGCTGAGATCTAAAAGATGCAGGCAACTGAGGTGAGTTAGATCTGCACGCAGAGTGCCTCTGCGAAAAAGTGCCTTTGGGAGCCTGGCTTTCAGAAAAGAGGCATTTGCTCTGCTCTTAATTTGCTGAAAGTCATTCAGCATGACTCAGCAGTAGAGTGCGGGTGCGTGAATGTGTGTGTGTGTGTGTGTGTGCCCGTGTGTGCACATAAGTGCTGTAAAAAATTGGTTTGGAGAAGAATGTAAAGGTTAAATTATTCAGGGTCTTGACTAGTAATAATAATAACCAGCACATAACACTTATTCTGTGCCAGGCACTGTTGCAAGTAATTTTAATATAATACATGTATTCCTCATAACAAAACTAAGGAAAAGCTACACCATCATGATCTCCATTTTATATACAAGGAAAACAAGACACACAGCGGCTAAGTGACTTCTCTAAGTTCCCAGACCTAGTGACACAACTGAGACTTGAGCTCCAGCGAGTCTGGCATGAAAAGTATGGTCCATGGACCAGTATTATCAGCATCACCTGGGAGCTCGTTAGAAATGCAAAAGCTCAGGCACCAACTCAGACCTACAGAACCAGAATCTACATTTTAACAAAGACCCAGAGGTGGTTCCTGAGCACCTTAAAGTTAGAGGAGATCTGCTGTGATCCACTATACTCGACTGCTTCTCTTTAATCTTGAGAAGGCATCTGGACATTATCCTAAGGCCAGTGGAGAGTCAGGGAAAGGTCTGAAGTAAGATGATTGGCAAAATCAAATTTGTTTTTAGACCAGTTGCTTTAGGTCACTCACTCTGGCTTCAATATGGAGAATGCAATGGAGGAGGGCAAGTCTGGAGGCAGGGAGATGGGTGAAGGGGCTGCTGTTAACCACGTAAAAGAAGATGGCAGCCTGAAACAGGGTGGTGGCAGTGACAAAGGAGAGAAGTAGGTGAATGTATGAGGTAGGATTGACAGAACCATATATTCTTTGGGTATATGAATTGAGGTGGGGTGGAGTTAGTTCACCCCAAGTTTCTGGCCTGAGCAACTGGCTGCATCATGGTGTCATTTACTGTACAAGAGTATACTTGGGGGAAGGAGGGTGGGGAGTAGGAGAGGGAAATGGTGAATTTACGTTTAGATTAAAATGTTGAGATTTGAGAGGACTGTGGGACAGTAGAGCTGTTCAGCCAGGGCCAAAGAGATAGGGCAGGGAAACCATATAAATTACTTGGGCATTTTGGAAGGGGTCCTAGGGCAAATTCTATGTCAAAATTTTTACCTAGCTTGCCTCTGACGTCCCTCCCCACTCCGCCATTGCATTCACTGGGGTCCAAGCCTGCTCTAGGCAATCCTGTATTCAGCAGACAACTGAACATATAGGTCTGTAGCTCAGAAAAGATATCTTAGCTAGAGATATAGATTTTGGATTCATAAGCATATAGAATAGATGATAATTGAAGCAGGTGAAATTGCCTACAAAGAGAAAAGGAGTCTAAGATACAGGGGAGAGCAAGAGGAATCTGCAAAGCAGACTGAGAATAGCAGACTATGAGGTGGGAGGAAAACCAGGAGTTTGATATCACGGAAGCCCCGGAAAAAAAGAGTGTTTCAAGATGGGGAAAGTAGAGAATAGGGTAAAATGCTTTTGAGACTCCAAGCAGATAGAGAATGAGAAATGTTCTGCTGGATTTAGCAATACACTGTGATTGATAACCCCTGGGAGAGCTGGGGAAAACTGATGAGGATTAAAGCCAGAAGGCAATAGATTGAGAAGTGGGAGCTAAGGAGATGGAGATTCTTAATAGAGTGTAGACAGTTCTTTAAAGAGACAGATCAATGTAGCAGAGGAAGGAGGGTAACTGGAGGAGCTCAGTAATAAAGGAGAAGCTTTCAAGATGGAAAACTGGAGCGTGTTTAAATGCTCATGGAAAGAGCCAATAAAGAAGGAAAAATTAAAGACTGTGATCCCTGAAGTGGAGGGTATGAGAAAATGGGCACTAGTTTAGATTTTCCCTTTTATGTTCCAATCGACCAATAGGTGGGGATGGGGATTTGGGCGGATGGCCAGAGAAACAGGAAGATCCCACTGCGGTCATCTGTTCCACGTTCTGGGGGCGTTGGAGGCTTAATCTTATCACCCTTCCAGTCGAAGCCTTGCTCTCCACAAAAGGAACTCTTCTTCTACTTGAATCTTCCACTTTTATTTCCATGACACACTGCCCAGAACAAGTATGGCCACTAAGCACCTGCTTTGAAAATTAACCCTTAAACTTCATCTTCAGCTAAAATCCTTGCCTTAGCCTTATCTCTCCTCAGGTGAGGCAGTTGAGAGAGACAGCTTAGGCATACTTCCACCCTAAGCCTTTTAAAGGTTTGGTAAACCCACTGGCCCTAGGCTATGTCTGAAGCTGAGGTCTATGGCTTTAGGGAAAATAGTGGTTCATAATCAGGATCCCAGAGAATACTCAAGGACAGATTTCAGGAGTCCATCGACCCCAGAAATGTCATTGAAAAATCTATTTGCAATGGGCTTTTTTCTAAGGAGAAGGTCCATTGATTCTATCAAATCCTTAAGGAGATCTGTGATCCCAAAGTGGTCCGATGTGGAGAAAGATAAATGTTCAAACTGATCATTTTGGAGGGATTCAATGTGTTATGACAGGAAGGAGTCCTTCTCCTTCCTCTCCTCCTCTTCATAGCTCCTTACATGGTACCAAAAGGTAACCAAGAAAAATGATGACAATCAGAGAAGAAAAAGACAACTATAAGAACACAGAAATGCATGTTTGTTTAATTGACATCTGACTCAGAACTTCCCATGTGAACCCAAGTATTTGGTTTTCAATTCTAAAGAGATCATGTTTTCTAGATTGAAAACACAAAAAATAAATCAAAGCTTCTCCAATGTGTTCTAGATAAACATTTATTTTCAATATTATAGTAGAAAGTTACTAGGTTTTCCTAAGGAACCCAAATTAATCCAGTTTTACTCAAAATGTTGTTCGTAAGTATAATAAAAATAAGAGGTAAACTTGTCAGTAAGGTGATGTTACATTAAAACACAAATCTGCTGCTCTTGTTTAGGTAGAACAGTCCCAGAATTGGCAACTAATGATAACACATGGGAATAAATAGAACAAGTGTAGAAAATAGACATCAGAATTTACCTTCCCCATTAAGCAGTTTGGATTATGGCTTTAGGCATATATCATAACAAATATGTTAAGAAATATCTTGTATGGTACATATGTTTGCAATATTTGCGTTAAATTTTAATCCATATGTTTTGCTAATAAAAATGCTAGAATTTGTACATGACAGTATTGTGGATGTGAAATTATGGCTAAAATAACTTGAGGATTTTCTTACGTTTTATTTATAAGAATTACACATTTTATTACTGATTCTTTTTAGTTCCCACATTTCTGAAACCCAAATTGACAGCTGAGGAGTTGCATTTGGATTTCAGATGGATGACAGACACCAAAGAGGATCTGACTACAGCAGTGAGGGAGGAAGCATAAACACATATGGGATGCACGCTTTTGCTGAAGTAACGCTATCTCAGTTTCAAGAAGCAACGCTTTAGATTCATGTAGCATATTATATACTCACGAACTCACTTAAAATCTGTAAATGACTCGAAATGTGCTCTGGACATATAAATCCAGTCATAAAATACCCTCAGTGATAAAGTTAGTCATTGAAATAAATTAAGCCAAGTAAAATCCCAGAACCCTGCTACCCTTTTTTAATGACAGTGAAGCTATCCTCCACATATAAAGACCATTTTCAGAACTCAGGAGGCAACTCTGAAGAGTTATCTAGCCACTTTCTTGCTTCCACATGCATATCATCAAAATAAGATATCTGAAAACCTCAGTGTATAAAATTCAATACCTGTTGGCTCAAACGGCTTTTTAAAAGTTTCTGAGAAACTTCAAGATATATACTTATTTGCCAAGTACAAGTTTTCTCTTAAGTGGTCACTAGTAAGTTTATAAGAATCCCTTGTACTTAAAAAAAAAACTAAAGAAGGCAAAATACCACATAAAAAACACGAAGGAAACATTAAGGAAAAGAAAACAAAACTTACTTTTTCTTATAGCTGCTTCTTCCTGTGATTTAAACAGTGTGAAAGGAGGCTATATGATGATTTTTTTCCTCCAACACATTTGTCTGTCAACTCCAGAAGGAACAGAATGGGCCACCAGAACTGAGTGTCCCTCTCAATTGCAGCTTTTTCAACTTTGTGGAAGAAAACAGGAGGGTGAGTGTATTTCCTCCAAGTCTTATGACATGCACATAGCTGACTCCTACTGGGCTGAAAAAGCACTCTGTCAATTTTTCCTTAAAATTATGAGGAACGAATTCTCTGCAGGACATCCTTAAAGGGAAATCCTGCCAGGATTAGTATTTGAAATATCTGGATAAGCTCCAAAAAGTTTAAAATACAAAGTGCACATACAGGCACTCTCACACTCGAGAAATTTCCACTGCCTAGGCTAAATTGTTAAGTTAAGGACATATTTAAAAAAAAAAAATCTCTAAAAGGATGATGTATTTTCTGTTTCCTTGATTAATCTGTTTTTTATTTTGTCGTCTTTGTTTTCTGGTGACCATCAGAACCCTTCTTTTAGGTTAGGTTGAACTACAGAGCTTCTCTGTGAAATATCTCTAAAGATATGAGGCCCCATGTTATCATCTGCAGAGTTTTTGGTAGCTTGAGAGAGGAGCCCTGGGTTGTAGCCTCTATCATTGCCTTCTCGGGAAATTGGGGAAGTTTGAGCCTTGGATTTGACTAGAATAAATCAAGGTAGTTACCTGCTTCCTGCACCTGCCGTGTGGACTTAGCATGCCCTCCTTCTGCCTATTTCCCTATGAGCTGGCAACAATTATTATGTCACGTCCATGGCTATGTGACTTCATTTAAGCACAGACTCATCTGGTCTTTTGAAATCTTCAATTCAAAACATGAAAAGCGCCTAGAGATTTCAAGAGTTGAACCAAAGAAATGTTTGAATATTGAACTAATCCACAACAGGAATTCTCAGTGGCTCAAACTGATCCGTAAAGCGAGTGACATTTGCCCCTAGAATCTCCATTTGAGGCTGTTTCTTTGGTTTGTAAGGTGGGGTGAGAGAAGCAACGTTCTGCCCTAACACCATTTATTCCCAGACCAAACTTAAACTGGCCTTGTTCTAAGTGCTGAAGGAATGACATATTAATACTGTCTGAGGTCAAACTCAGATGTATACAGTCAAAAAACTTGAGCTAGGGAAATGCAAAGCCACTCAACTCTATGCTTCTGTTATTCACCTGACTTTGATGATTAAGATATTTTGAACATGAAAACATGGTGATTAGCAGCAACAAATTGATTCAATGAAAGGACACAAGTACATTCAGTTAGTAATAGATTTTAGTCCCCATGACACCGCTGCTAGACTGGGCATGATTTTTCTCCTGTCATAGCTGAGGAAGCAGAGTCTTGGAGACATAAAGTTGCCTATGTCCCCATCTAGGTCTGGGGCATCACCCTCTTTGTTTACACCCATGCTTCCTGAGACGGTAGTCCACATTCACTGATTCAAATTCTGATCCTCCTGCTCCCTCCTGAAACCTGCAATCTGTCTTCCACTTGAACCACTCCACCAAAAAAACTTCATTAAGCTCATAAAATATCTTAATTGGCACTACTAATCTTACTGAAATTTCTCATTTTTGGCCATGTCTATTTCTTTTTGAAATTCTCTTCCCTTGGTTTCACTAAGTTACACTCTCTCATTTCCTCCTTGCTCTTAGCACACTCAGCCTCCTCTCCCTTTATTCACCTCACCCTTCCCTAGAGCTTCCTCAATTCAGAATGCTTCTCTGTACACTCTCCATGGGGTTCCTTATGAAAACAACTAACAATTATATATCATGGCTCCCAAACCTGTGTTCTCAACTGTTATCACTCTCTAAGTTTCCAGATCTGTATCCAGCTGTCTATTGGCCGTATTTGTCTAGAGGTCCCCAGGCATCTCAAACTCCACAATCCCAAATAAACCTCTTCATTTTCTCTCTTCTCCAAACCTGTTAGTCTGCTGTATTTCCTATCTCAGGGCACAGTCATCCAACCCATCATCTTAGACTCCTCCCTTTCCTCTCTTATTCTCCATCCTCCCCATCATTCTTCGCCACCCCCAACTTCTGTTGGTTCTACGTTGTTAAATATCATCCCTGCCTACCAGTCCCCACATTTCTCATTTGGATTACTGTATCAGTCATAAGACAACTGGCATTTACCTCAGTCTGGTCCCCTTTTATCTTTTCTCTACATCACTATAAAACAATTATTTATTTAAAAATATCAGTTTATCAAATTATAAAATACATGCTTCTTGCAGAAAATCTGGAAAAATAAAATTTAAAACGACTTACAATCCAAGAGACAGCCACAGCCCAAATCTTCATCTAAATCTCTTTAGAATATTATGCATGCACATAACTATACAAGGAAATGTTTATGTAAACGTTTTTATGCAAATGTTTATATAAACAATATATTTAATTAGAAAACCAAGATCACATTGTATATAGTTTTGTATCCTTTTTTTACTTAATATACTGCTATTTTCCAAATCAATTAAATATTTTTCAAGTGGCTGTGAATAATGCCTGCAATTTAATGAAATATATTACGGAATAGTGCTCCCTCTTTTTTTTCTCTCTCTCTGATTTAATTGTTTTCTTCAACACCAAAACTTACCCTGAGCATTTACAATGTATGAATCCCACGGACTTAGATTTAGGTGAGAAAGAGGGAAGGAGAAAAACAGAACACTCACTTTAAGTTCATTTACATTTATTAGATACTATTTAAACAAATATATATTCTACACTAACCTTGTGTCACACCTCAAGCAATTATCCAACCTGTAAGTATAATCGAGTTAAGTTAAAGGTTACAATTTAGGTGAGTAAAGAGAAGCTCAGTAGGAAAACGATTTGATAAAACTTGCTTTTTCTTCTTTACATTGAATAACAAGAAACATGAGAAAAACCCTTGGAACCTTTGTCTTAACTTGACTAGTCGGATAAAGGGGTGTTCTTTGGTGGACTAGCATCTGAACAAACGAAAATACTTAAGAGCCAAGAAGATTGTCTCCTTTCTGTGCAAGACACGTTGTACCTGTTCCTCTTCTATTAGAGGCTGGGAAAAAGACTTGGACACATCTTTAAGTCCACATTTTACTTCTCAGAAAGGAGAGACATTAATTTCACAAATAATACACACATTTTAAAGGATTTTAGTAAATTGTCAAACTGCCTTCCAGAATGGGTGATCTAAAAGACAAATCTAATCACCTTATTTCCCTGGTTAATTTAATCTTCTCTAGTCTCCCCTTGTTTTCAGGATAGTGGTTAAACTTTTTAGCTTTGTGTATAAGGCATTTCACGATCCCCCTCTGGTCTTGCCAGCTTCACTTACACTCCTTCCCCAGCCCATTGTTCTTATTTCTCATACTTTAGGGTTTCCCAAATGTCTCATTATTTCATGTTAATTCACGTCTTAGTACCTCTGAATCTTCTTTGCTCGCTCAGAAACATCTACTTCCCATTCTCCTATTATCACCAGGCCAGGCCTACTTTTCTTTCAGAACTCAGTACAGGAGGTCCTCTCCTGCCTGTTCAATTCCCCTCCCCACCGTCAGGACAGTGTGACTTGCGTTTCTTCTCCTATAGCATCTTCTGCGTATTTCTCAGAACACTAGATTGACTATAATTGTTGGTTCTTGCTGTCTCCCTGAAAGCAAGGCATTTTTTTTAAGATTTACATTTGTATTCCCACTACTTAGCTGTCATATGAGATCTAGAAGATTATTGAGCCAAGCATTTAAATGCAGCACATCCTCCCTTTCTTCCTTCACATCACAACATAATCCCTTCCTTCCTGCTCGTCAAACACACATCCAGGTTAAACCTGACTATTAATCACTGAAGAGGAATAGAGGTGCAATTAGCGGCAAGCCTGGTAAAACAATAATAAAACATAATACTGGGAACTTACAAAAATTTAACACGTTTATAGTAGTTATTCCCTTTTTTGTGATGTAAATGGAATAAACATTACCCTGTATTTCTGAAAGCCTGAAAGTCAGTTTCTTAGACGGTTTGGAAGAAGTCTCTCCTGGATTCTATTTATTCTTTTGTTTGTAGTGCGGCCTTCAAGGTAGAGCAACTTGTGTGAATCTGTAGGCCATTTTAATAGCCACTTTAATAGTGCTCCCAGATTTCTGTAGAAAATGTACATCCTAGAGGAGTTTATATGTGTTTTTATCTCATCCCCTAAATACACTGGGGTAAAGGCTGCATTGGTATTAGTCTAAGAAAGCAACCCTTCCATCATCCCCATGCCCTACCCAAGTCACATAAATTAGTTCTTGATAGAAAAAAATCCCACGTGGCCCTGAGTCAAGAGCCATTTCTGAGGAAGGAATAAACTGTTCCTTCTCAATCTATAGACCACACTATACTTCAGATCACTGTTGCACTTTGACCTCATCCTTTATAGTCTGACTAAAGTACATTCTCTAAAAAGTTCAAGAGGGTTCTACATTCAGGTTAAGCAACTTCTACATTTATTGTTCTAATTTAGCATTAAGGTCTTTTCTGAAAATACACTGCAATTTTGATAAGATATAGCTCTCTTCACTGAGTCTTTCTGATCACCAGAAGTGGGTTTCCTTTGACTTTTCAACACACATGGGTTGGAGATGGAACACATAAATACCCCAGCACATTATTCAAATATCTCTATTCTATCTGCCAACAGTAGGAAGTAGCAGATCAGAGTACAGCTGCACATTTATTCAAATCTAGCTAATTGAAAATGATTTACTAAGGAGAAATAATTTACTAAAGTTCATGAATGGCAAACTTTCAAGGGATGAAAGACACTGAGGACTATGGAACTATTTTTGTGTAAGAAAAATATAATAAAACGCTTTAAAATGTTCAGAATAAGAATTAAAAAATGTAAATACATTACATATAATATATACACCAATTAATCCTAGTAGTAGTAATAAAAATAATGGAAGCCTCAAAGTACTGTAAAATTTAATAGAAACAACACGCAACTTTATTTTAAATAACATTAAGTCTGCCCATTAAGATCATAGTAGATAAACATTTAAACAATTTTTATTAATGAAATTAGACTTTTACATACAAAAATCAGCTATATAATTTTATTTACAAAAGTAATAAAAACTGTTATTTACTGTGGAAAAATAAGAACTATCTTGATAAATGAAAAAAAT